TATCGAGCGCCATCGCCGATCGTAAAAATAAATGACCAGCATAGTTTTCTTATGAAGCCGACCGACTACCCGCAGAGTGGTGGTGTACTGGCTGATTTTTTTATGTAAATCAGTGACCCATATATTGCGAATATATATAAACTCGACTTTGACGCTAGAAGTCAAACGGCGCAGATTGCAAATCATAGGTTTTTATAGAGCTACGGACAGTTGCATCGGGGTTAAAAGCTTCGTGACACATTTGTCAGTATCGCTGGTTGTTTTGTGATTTATTCATATTGTATATGTATATATAATAAATTGAATCTAGCGTAATCTCTATACCGTAGGTAGCAAAATCGATTTCTAGTGAATACTCGTTATACGTCGAGTTCAAACAACTGACCCCTAAATGAGCAAAATGTAAATTTCCACTTCAATAGATTATTAGATGCATTAAACGGTTGCAGATTAGGTACATTGAATAACAGCAATTGATTCGATATATATATATATATATATATATATATATATATATATATATACGAGTATATATATAGTGTAATTTAATTTACATAGGAGAAACAAGCCAGAACTTAATTAAACGTTTACAACAACATAAAAACAATTCAAAAAGTTCGAGACAATTTAAAACTATGCTTGCGGACCATATTTATACTTTAAAACACAATATGGACTTTTCTGACCGACTATATATATATATATATATATATATTATATATATATATATATATATTATACACAAATAGGGTATCCCAGAACTCAACATCAAGCCAGAATATATGATAGTAATGATCATAAACTGCTTTGAAAAATTTATGGAAAAAATATGTTTATTTAAGCTCTGGATTCGTAATGGTAAATATTATTTCTAAGACCACAGACAAAAATAATGACACAATTGACCCAAGTCTTCAATAATTAAGGTTTTTTGTAGGCCTATGAATTAAAAAATTTTAAAATTGGATAACTTTAAGAGACCCTTTTTTAAAAAATATATACTAAAGTCTTTTTATCAAAAGTTGTCGCATATTTATTCTTCTAATATTTTTCATATTTTATCTACATATGGGTATATAGGAGCAAAAAATATGCAGAATCTAAATACTGGCTTAGAGATAACATATTATGTCTAGTTGACCTTTTACATTTTGTGAGAAGTGGAAGACAAATGATTTTCCTTACGACAATATTATTTTGTGAGATTTTGTGGTTTTATACCATACTTTCTATTTTTTAGAAAAAATCTAACAATATTTTATTCATTAGATCATTTTTATAATAAATGATAGAGTTGAATAATGAAAAAAAAACAGATTAATCTGACTAAAATAAAAATGTATTAACATTTCTTTACTAATTTGAGTTAAGTCCGAAAAAAATCTTTTTAGTATCACATCCCAAACGTGAAAACCCATATATTCTGCAAAGACTTTTTCTGTCGTTTTTTCCTCCTGCAACATCACATGATAAATTTAACTAATAAACCAGACTTTGTTCAATATCAGAAATTTATTAGGTCTTTTTCATTACTTTAACGTCAGATTATAAAGAGTAATAGCTACTATTTGTATCTAGAAAACTCGTATAGATTCAGAGTTCGAGGTTACTTCAGAGTGATTTTCAATATATCTTTGGCCATCATTCTATTTTTTTTATCTTTTCGATTTTTTTCGATTTTTTTTATAATTTTCTTAATATCTATCCATTGATAAAGGTTCAAGCTATTCCTCAATGAAATAATATTTATCGTATCTATTTTTAGGAAACTTGTATTGATATATTTATACATGTTTCTGTTTCTTCCTGATTCGATATTGTAGGTATCTGCGAACCTTTGATTAAATATTGACATGGTCTATATGTGAGTACATGAATTCATTATGGGCTTGTGTAGTATCGAAAAACATCGGTGTTTCTGTTCATTAGATAATTGGCGAAGATCTATTTTTTTACTATATCTGCCATACAAGATTCAGAGGAAACTATAAGGCCGTAATAAGGCGGACCACAAATTGATTTATTTTGTTCAGTGCTAAACTTTTATGTTATCAACCTCATGGTTATCTGTAAAAAGATCACATTAAAACATAATTCATTTGTTTAACAAATTCCATTACCATTTGCACTAAAAATAAAAGTTTTGTGCAAATGACATGACAAAAAAACTGTCCTTTATCCTTGCATATAATTCCCCAAGATGTATTCCACTTTCAGCCCATTATTCGAAGATCGAGGCATTCTCCAAACACAATAGTCGCTATTTAAAAAGTTTCCTTTTACGAATCTATATCTGTGTAAATAAAAACTTTTTCTATATTCCTTCTTCCCGATTTTTTCCCTTTATCGAATTCACCATTAAAACTCTGTATCATTTCAAGCAGACACGTTATTAGTTTATCTGAAGTCCTTGGTAATTTGGTTTTTCCTTTGAAAGGGACCTTGTTCGTATGTGCGTGAAAGAGATTCATCATTTGCCACAAAACAAACATTGAGTTCCGATGAAAAGTTTGGTGGAAAATTCTGTACGAAAATAGTTAACAAGTTGTTGCTCGGATATTGAGTTTCTATAGTTGGGAGTTGACGTACTAGTAATCCTATAGATGTAAGAGGATTTAGAAAAAAATACAAAATTATTTATTTATTTATTAACTTCCCGTAGGGCAAGTGATAGTAAGCAAAAAATCGAAAATAAAATTTTTTATATATCTTTACGTTTTAGAGGTTTCTGAACATTTTGGCATACCTTAGAAAAAATGGATGTATGTGTGTGTGTATGTGTGTGTGTGCGAATACAAATTTTTGTCGACGATTTCGGGAAACCGGTGCAACCGATTTCAATTATTCAAAAAACATTCGATTCCTATTAATAAGGACACGTGCTGATTAGTTTTTGGTATAGGCAGGTCAAGCCATTCCGAAGATACTACGCAAAAAGTGCCAAAAACGATAACTCCGTTTTTAATAGAACGGAGAGTCCGATTTCTGTAATTCAAAAAACATTTTACTTGTATTGACAAGATGAAGAACTGATTAAATTTTTGGGAAGGCAGGTCCAGCGGTTATGGACTCTCAATAAAAATAAGGTAAAAAAATGTCATTTGGCGGTCAAAAATGTTTATTGGACATATGTACATCAAATTATCAGATATTTTATAGAGATTTTAACAATAAGTATAAATTTTGTTTACATTCCTAAGGGTTCCGTACCAATGTTTATTCATTAGACGGTGACGCAGCGCTTACGCGCTTCGATATTTCGTCTCTATGCAGTTAAAGCAGTACGATTGCTTTGAAAAAAAGTTCAGAATTTCCAAAATATTTCAAAATAATTTTTTCTGCAAAAAGTCTTTTTTTCAAAAAAAGTAAATTTTTGTCAAAAATTTATAGTTTCTCAAAAATCTAATTTTTCCAGAGTAAATGTTTTTCAAAAATGTTAATCTTTAAAAAAAAAAATTGGTACAAAAAATCCAGAAATTTGCCTTAAGGCACGATGCCATGCGCCCCACTAGTTTTATATTCATTTAAGTAATAAGGGGCTGTCCGTTTTTAAGGATTTTTGTATCCTTTCCTCTCTCTTTGTGATACGTGGTGATATTTAAAGTTTTTAATAAAAAAATACATGTTTTTGATAGATATTTATCTTAAAACAAAATCTCTTTAAATAAATATATTTAAAAACGATTACCATGGTATTTTTCCTGCTTATAAACTTCTGCAAGTTTGTTTTCGTCAGAAACTCGTCGATTTGCTAATTTTGTGATATTTGGCTGGTAAAAATCTTTGCATTGAAAAATGTTTCACAAAATAACGATATTACTACTCCAAATAGCTTTCGATCTTAATTTATTTGAAATGAATATTAAATTGAACAACAATTTAATTAACTTGATGGAACTCATGTGCAGTTCTTAAAATAGAAATAGTTTCTAGTTAAAACTTTAATTCATCACAGATGCAAATTTAAAACATGACAATATTAAGTGCAAATTGGTTTAGTTATAAATATGGTAATTGGATAAAACACAAACACTTCAATTCAGTATATCTTTATCTTTACTAGACAATATCTTTCGAATAAAATACAAGTCGGATTCTATCCATGTTCCAAATGTAATTACATTAAAATAAGTATAGGGAAGAATTGCAGAAAAGAAATCTGATCTGAAACGTTGAAATTTCCAATAATTGAATTTTATCAGCTTCTCAGTTTCTTTTACACTTTTCTCTTTATGTATTATAAATATATTACATGTTCGTATTGGTACAAAATAAACCTGAATTGATTAAATATACACACACATGTGTGTATATTTATATTTTAGGCAAAATGCTAATGACAGTAATTACTTTAGATTTATAGTCAAACAAATGTTTCACTAATCTATGATTTATGTTATGTCATTATCAATATGTAACATAAATTTATTTGTTCCCGATAAAACAAAAACGAATGAAATCATATTTGGTCGCTATCGAATTAATTGCTTTTTATCTTTGTAATATATTAAGGCTATAAATTAAAATATAGTAGAAATATTTGCACCATTTATATGAATCCATTCAAAATATCTTCCAAAAATTCTTTTAAAAATTCTTACAAAATATTTTTTGGTTAGAGCACAGTATTATACGGTCTATAATTGCAGATTTTTTGTTGTATTTCATAATTACGTGGCGGTATACAATAATATTAGAAAAATTTTCATGTAAGCCATGGTAATTTTATTAGATAATTTAGTTAAAATTGTAACAAGAAAACGTAATGTATCAAAGAAGTTTTTTTGTCAATGTTCCTGAAAAGGCACTATTTTTTATATCAATATATGCCATGGCTTTATATCAATATAAGCCAACTTTTTTCTCGCCTTACCAAATCGCTTCTGTGACCTATATGTTTATTGTATTCAATATTTTTCATCCTCTAAAATATTTTCTGACCCATATTTATTATTGTAAAAACGATATAAAATATCTACTATTTTTTACATTTCAGATGGTGAAAATGATGTTGACTGTGGTCGTCGTATTTACCGTATGCTGGATGCCGTTTAATATTTTAATGGTGAATATTACTGAACCCAAAACAAATTTCCCTTCCTATAACCTTTTTCTAAAATGGTCTTAAGGAGTGGAAGTTATGATTTTTCCTCTTTATTATTTGAACAGGTAAAACTGTTTTTGCTTTGATCTCTCCTTTGTAAAGTTGTTTGTCGTTTATCCATGTCGGGGAGGATTGGGCAAGCCTTTCTTTTTATGACCCAAGAGTCGTATATAATGACCGGTCAATAAATCGCTTGGTATCGATTTATTTACTCTTAAATGAAACATGATTGCTTTTATGTTCTATTTTGATTACTTGGTGTTATTTTCGGCTTTTTATCAAATAAAGCAAAATTAAAATATAGTTGGTTGACAGTAGATTTATTGTATAAAATTTCATTTTATGGTTCAAATGTTCATTATATAAATTTTGTTAAAGCTTATCACGACACATTCAACACTCATTTTTTTATTGTAATTTTTTTTGATAAAACTTTGTAATTCTCTTGCAATTGTATTTCACATTTGATAATCTGTTTAACAATAACATTTGCATCTGAACATTTTTGTTCAGCAGATATCATAAATAAATTATTTATATCTGTGATCGTTTGCCGTGAATTGCATTGAAAACGGAAATTATTAATTGGAATGCAAAATTAGATTTTTCAATTCCTTGTTTTATATCGATGCATTTTTTAATTATATTTTTCAATTCTTCGTTACAACTAATGTAATATTAACCTTTTCAATATTTTTCTCAAAGCGACTTATAAAATAACGTAATATAATATTAAATCTCATGTTTGTCAATATTTTTTCAAAAATAAGAGGAAAAAATAATGAAATTTAATATTTAAATAATTTATTATTAATTAATAGATAATAGCATTAATAGTTTACCAAGAACATTTATTGGTTATATTTGTAGTAACATAGTTTACTTGTTACATATTTAGGAGCAGTTAGAAGTAATTTCATAAAATTGATTCTTATAGATATTTATAATTCAAAATTTACACAATGTTTTTTTATAAATTATTAATAGAAAATATAATTAACATTTTTATTAAATATTTAGTTACATCTTAGGTAAATTATATATTTTGCCATCTAGATGTTTTAGGCTAATCTCAAGTATCTGGAAAGTTTATTTTAAAATAGTTCAAGAATATAATACCATTTGCCTAAAGTTCGTGAATGTGGGGTCAATAGTGATATTGTTGGGTGAATATTATAATATTCAGCCCAGCTTCAGCAACGATCTAACCACGATTTGTTTCTACTGGGTTTGATATTAAATAATCAATATAATAATATCAATAGTAGTCTGTCTGAAGTCAGGTCCATGGTAAAAGAGGACCAAAATTTAATGATTCCTTTTTCTTTCCTTGTTTGTTATTACCTTTACCATTTTATACTCATTAGTTATTTGTTTGTTCACTTATGTTTTTTTTTCAAACTGTTGCTCCCATGCTTCCTGATCCTATTTTCCACTTTTCAGTTCCCTGTACTTTCTGTTGTCGAGTAAGTTGTCAATCTGCTGCATTCTTCTTTACCACATTCCTTTCAGTTCTTCCATTTTACGTTCGACGACATCATGTAGGATGCACTCTTTTTGCAGAATGGGTCTGATTCAGTTTTCTTTTCTTTTCATAATCGTACTCAGTACAAATTTTGCTTCTTCCACTCCTTCAGCACTTCATCATTGGTTACCTTATCTCGATATAATCAGTATATCATTAATTTTATTACCACTTAACATAATATTAATACATAAATGCTGAATTTTTTTGGCATCATGTATCCTTTAGGGTAGACATAAACCATTTGGGTAATCACCTATCTAGATAATTTCTTCTTTAGGGTAGACATAAATCATTTGAGTATTCACCAATCTAGATGATATGAACTAATATTATTTGGTCTATACAAATTTTTAGGCACAAATATGTACCGTCTCATATTAAAATATGACATAATTGAATTTTTCTCTAGGTGATATGGACTAACGACGAATCCCTCGGAGGTTGGCCTCCCCTGCCGTACGTGTGGTTTTCCTTCCATTGGCTAGCGATGTCGCATTCGTGCTACAACCCAATAATCTATTGTTACATGAACGCACGTTTCCGCGACGGATTCGCTATCCTGCTGAGTCCAGTGCCGTGCGTAGGCAAGCTGTTCAGGGGGCGCAGGCGGACGGGCACCGAAAACGGGGGCACCATTGGCGGAGGCACGTCTGCCAGCATGGGAGATCATAGATATGGACATCCGATGTTTGGTGAGTCTTTTTCATATTGGTTCGAGGGAAACATCTGGGTGCATTATTGTTTTTAGATTGTATAGCAACGTGGTATTGATTAGTCTGTATAACAAAATGTAGAGACATCCATTAGGAGTTGGTATTAACTTACCAAAAGAGGAGTCTGTTTTAGTAAGGTGACCATACTCCCGGATTGGCCGGGACGGTCCCGGATATCCACATTGTGTCCCGTATTATTTTAAAGCAGATTTGTACTGCATTTATATCTTTTGTCCCCGATTGTCCAGGTTTTTCAAAAATTAACAGATAAATTAACAAAAATTATGGAAACAAACGAACAAGTGCTAATTTTTGCAAAATATTTATGAATAGAATTGAATAGAATATTATAAAAGGCTCAAAAGCGCAAAAAACGTATTGATCCATATAAGATATGATATATCATAGATAAAAAAGTATGACATGTAATCGATTAATATAGTTCTCACTAAAAGTCCGCAATTATTATCAAAAAAAAGATTTATATAAGAAAACTGTTATTATTAGCAAAACTAAAAATTGCCGTCCCGGTTTTAACTTAGAAAAATATGGTCACCTTAGCTTTAGGTTGTTTAGCAACATGGCATTTATTTGCCTATATAACAGAATGTAGATGCTTCCAATAAGAGGTATTACAAACTTCCCGAAAGTAAAGTTTGTTTTCATCAGAAAATCCGATTTGCTGATTTTATGTTTTCTCGCAGTTTCATTCTAATTCGCAAGTCATTCTAAATCGTGCAAGACCGAAATTGAAAAACGTATGACTATGAGCCAAAATCGAAACTTTTGCCAGCGTTTTGAAAAACAGCTCCACCAGGTTCCATATTTCTTCCAAAAATTTGAAGGTCAATTTATGAAACTTGAAAACTCGATTTGATTAATTTTTGGCAAAAGATCCCTAAAGATCATACTTGGTAAAAGATCGAATTTGGTGAAGATAGATTTGGCCAGATTATTGAATAATTTCTTTAGTAATTTTAATGAAACTTTGTTTGATAATAGCGTTCATGGTCTAAAGAAGCGCTGGGCAGCGCTTTTTAATCATTGCCTCAAACATTTTTTGTTTAATTTGATATTACCTCCATGGCGAAAAAAGGTTACCACCTACGTAGCAAATACAGTGAATATCAACTAAAAATACATACTTTTAACCGCAAAAATTCCATTTCTTCCCCATTTGAGGTAATTTACCCCGGTTCCTCGATCACTGGTCTAATATATATTACTGTATTCATATAAGTGAATTGCAATAACTTTCTTTTTAGCATTTTCCAATTCAAAAATATGCAAAGCTATGAATAAGGCTCACTATTCGTTCTTACAATTAAAGTTTTATAATTGATCTAGTAATTTTTAATATATATTAAATTTATGCGAAGCATCTAAATCAATTTTAATGCATAAATCATTCTACATCTTTCATAAGTTTTTAGAAAACTTCTCACTAACTAAATTAAAACTTACTATGATGATCAAGATGCACGCTTTGATTTTGAATATTTATGAATTTCGTCTACTAAATTAAAAAAAAACTGATTTTTTAATATTTGTTGCGTCAATTTCTTGGAAGTTTGGAAATTTATTAATTAATAAAATCAATGGATTTTAATTAAAATTTTAAAATGTGCTTCAACCTACTAACGAAGTCTATTATTGATCAAACAGTATTTACGAAACTTTAATTGAATTCTTTGACATTATTATAAGTTTCTTAATTGCAATTGCATTTCTAGTGATGATTAAAAGTAAATCTATCGCGTTGCAGCAATTGAACTCTATTTTCAAACATTTTTTCGATCAATAACTGCAGCAAAAATAATATAAAATGATATTATCATATAATTCTCCAAAAATAAACACCATAAGCATTTCACATTTTAGATATTTCTCAGTAATTTTAAATAATATATTTCTAACCACAATATTTAAAACTTTTACTAAAACTTTTTTCTAATTATGGTTGCACATTTATAATCGATTAAGAATTTAAAATACACTTTATTTTTAGACTTATATAGTAGGCGATATAATTACGAATAATAAAACTTTGTAAATTACTCCTTATCGCGTTTATATAGTATAATTTCATAAACGTGCTCATTAACATGGAAAGCTTAACTTTATTTCTTGATTTAATTGCAGACTTATGTAACTTTCTAGAAATGAAGTAATATAAAACTTAATCAATTAAAACAAATCTATACTTTGTTTCAAAAACAAATAAAATATAAATTAAACTTTATAATTAATTGTAGCCATAAATTATGGTTCGAAGCACATTATGCTTCAGAAAAATTTAGCAAACTTTAAAACTCCACTTTTTTTTAAAAAAAAATCTGTTTAGTATGAATAATAAGAAAAGCCTCATTTTTCTTCAAACTTGAATTTCAACTTCTCTTATTATCAAGATTGAATTTTGTTTTGAATAAATAAAAAAATAAAGAAGGAAGGAAAGATTTTTTGAGAAAGCTCTTAACTTCTGAAGTTCAAAATTCATAATATTCATGTATACATGAATGCATATACAGATTCAGAAATCTTTTACCATTTCCCTCATAAAATCTCAATCCCAAAATTCGCTTATGAGAAAATTGTGAAAGGAGGATCTGTATTGAGTGCGAATACGAAAACGTTCTTTTTATCACCAAGAGTGTGTGAAAGATTTAATTCGTCTTTTTCAGCTTGCTTGACTGACTTTCTATTGAATATATGGTATCTATACAATTTTTTGCTGTTCAATTCATAAGCTTCTTGGGTCTGACCCTCATTCCTTTCATAAATATGGCACAAATATTCTAGAATTACTCGCTGATACATTGATGCTCTATTTATTATTTTCAATATGTTCCATGTAATAGTTGACAACGAAAGCATTTTTTTGTTAATATTGTTTTATGTATTTTATCAATCTGGTTTGCTATATGACAGATAAGTTATGAAAGAAAAACATGAGTTGAAAACAAAAATAAAAGAAATATAAAACGTGTGCATTTTTTTGGCATATCGAAAAATTTATTGGGGCGCCTCGCTGAGCCAATTTCTTAACAAGTCTTCTTATTTTTAAACTCATTTCAAAGACTTATGTTTTTTAAATATGAATTGTTGATATTCAAATATTCGAAAGCAAGAGTGTGTTTTTTTAAATATCAACAAAAGTAATGCCAAGTAAAATATTTGAAACATTCTTTACCCAGACCTGGGTCAACTCTGTATAGAATTATATCAAGTCTGTTCAGCTTATGGTTATATTAGAATTATGAAAATATGTATAGGACATGTGATCGCTCAAAATCAGATGATGAAACGAAATTTATCATCAATCATTTAATATGTGACAGATGTATTTGTTGAACTGATGGATTATGTTGTTAAAACATAATCGTAATCTAAATATTGGAATCATATCAATATGAAGAATTTTGCAGACATGTCATTATTAGGTTTTTCATTAGACGAGGTCAGTTTGAAGAAGACTGAAGAAGAAGCTGCCCAAAGAAAAATATGGAGGACCCTTAAAACTATAACTTTATGTGAACAGAATAGTAGAATCATTTATTGAAGTGATTCTCTAAATATCAATGTAATATTCATCAGATAAATTAACATGTGTGTTTGAATGTGTGTGTGTATGTATGCGAGTGAATGACATAAGTCAAATAGCTCATAAAATTGTCATGTATTCTGATTGCTATTGAAAATAAAATTAAAGAAAAAAAAATTTGGACGTTGAAAATCATACAGGCAGTGTTTTTGGATATTTTATCCAATGTTTGACATGATTTCAAAATTATGCTCATAGATGTATTTAGGAAATGCAAAAAAAGTTGAATAGACTGAATGAATACCATATCATTCTTATTTCTGTACTTCGTATTTTTGAATATTCAATTTTATTTTTGTTAAATTTGTCACACGGCTGAAATTATTTTAAAAAAGCGTGTGAACCGTCGTCCGTGCTGTTTTGCATATATAATAAATAAAACCATTCATTCAAATAATTCAATTATCTTCCAACGTCATCAAACTGGAAAACTGTAAATGGATGCTAAAACCGTGCTTTTCACATTTCAATTAAACCAAATAAAGTTAATTCACATAAATTACTGGATTTATAAACTATTATTTCAGCAGCTTTTACAGAAACACGTGACACGTAATCCTTCGTAACTTTTATGGCGGTAGAATAATCTGATTCTCGGGTCATAAAGGCAGCAATTTTTTATTTTACCGATGATTTCGTTTATTTATTTTTTCAAGATGACATAAAATCCTTCATTTGCCATAAAATCGTCATTGAGCGTTATTGTTCGCTACTAAAATGTTTACGACATTGTATTGACGGAGTAATAAAATCTACGTGTCGCGAATTAATGGAAGCATTTAATGATGAAGATTTGCTGTACTTTGGCAGACAAATATAATATATATATATATATATATATATATATATATATATACATATATTAATAACAAAGCCAATTTATATTACTCAATATATATTAGTGATCAATATAGGTTAGTCATGAAATACTTGATCTTCCTATTGTAATATACATACCCTAAATATTAACATTTGATACTAAAAATTTATAGCTATTAATAAAGCCTTTAACTCGGGCAAAACATCAATAAAAATCACGAATTTTTTTAAAACATTATTCAAAAACTCATACAGTTTGGCTATAGTTTTAGCCCTTTTTTCAATAGGACTAAAATTTAATTTATAAAACAAAATATGTACCAATAGTTTCAAAAATTACAAATGAAAAGTAAAAATTACTCACTATCTGTATATCCAATATTCATATTTTCTTATTTCTATGTGTGATTATTTGGTCCCGGATTTGCTGGTTCGATTCTTGCCAAATCTCGACATCAGGCAGCATTGATGTAAACTTTCCATTTGAGGTTATAGATCTCAAATATGATCTCAAGTAAAACTCGCCTCTCGTAGGTATAGCTGCAAAAAAAAATTATAAAATGTCAAACATATACTTCGAGTATAGTTAAATAGTCACAACTGGACTGGTTGCCATCCATTCAAAAAGCCATATAATAATGTCAACACAATTACTGAATGTTCTAGTACGACAGATTGTAATTAAAAGTATAACAAAAAATCTTCACGGCATTCGTAATAATCGTTCCATAATTCTAGATCATTGATGTTTTCATCGAATACAACCTAGTGCTATATCATCTTTTTATCATTCATTTTCCACTCATTGATCAATTACTTCCAATCCTCCACCGTCCTCCGAGGCATTCGTAATAATCGTTCAGACCTCTCGTTGCCGCCCAGGTCTGGAGCAGGAGCACATCGGCCTCCGTCGAATGAACACCTGCAGCACGTACATCAGCGTCAAGCGGAAATCGTCGCCGGCTCGTTGCCACTGCTCCTTGCTAAACGGCGGCAACTCGACGCAGTTCTCGCCCATGATGGTCCAGACGCAGGTGATGGCTGCGCCAATCTCGCGGGCGAATTCGCTGAGACGACCAGGGACTCTTACGGGAAATGGCGCCTCTTACGAGAACAAACTAGAGGCGTTCTCCGAGGACCAGATCTAGAGGTGGTGAAAGAGGAAGATGAAAGTGACTTGGTGTATTGTCATTGGTGATGATGGGGTGATGTAGGATGATATAATTAACTGAAGGTAAGAATTTCTAGATGCAAATTAATTTTTTTGGCATGTTATATAATAACTTACAAGCAAGATGTGATCGCGCTTTAAATTTTGTAACAATGACTAACAGATTTAAACACAGGTTTACAAAGTAGTTGTCGGTATTGGGTGTGTGCCATTTAGGATTTGTCGGTTTTCAAAAACCGGTTTTAAAAACCGGTTTTTTGGCGAAAATTATGGAATTTGAAAACCGGTTTTTAGTGGAAAAGTCGGTTTTTACTGTATAAATGGAAAATGACAAATATAGCCAAATATAAAAGATAGATGACAGCGTTTTGATTCTTGAAATCATATCGGTTCAATAGCATTTTATATCTTATAAGTCTGCAATGGTTTCCAGAAAGGTTTTGTATATATTAATTTGGATTTTTATACCAGGGTATATATTAATTTAAATCAGAGTCACTTCTTCTTGAAGAAATAACTTCCTCTACTCAAATTTAAAAAAAAAGTTTTAAACTCTAGAAGCCACAAATTAAAGAACAAAAGATTTAGAATTATTATATCAGGCTTCAAAAACAATTAAACATAATTTGGTCGCAAGTATGAGAGTATTTTTTATTTCAGGAAATTTTGTGAGTAAACAAAAGATACGTCTAAGTAGACGTTTTCAGTTTTTTAAAATCATATTTTATTAAATAAAAAAACAATTAGAATGTTTAAAATTAATTAATTAAAATTGCTCGGAACAGACAATACCCGAGTTTAGCTTAATTGTTTTTAAAATTAAAATTGATATTAACAAGCATGTATCAACATGTATCTAATATCTTTTTATATTTTTTAATTTAATGATTTTTCTATTTCAAAATGTATTATTTTTATTTATTCGAAAACTTTCATTTCACTATCATAAAAACATTTTCATTCTTATATGTGAAAATGATGCATGAATAAGGTATAATTATTTTCAAAGTTATTTAATCAAGATAAACTATTATTTTTTAGTTCTACTAATTAAAATTAAAATAATTTTGTTTACTATCTATAAAATTGAACAATAAATAAATTTAGCCAAGGACTGCTCTAAATTACACTAAATTTGCGGATAAATTACAGGATATTCAGATAATATACAGCAAAAATTTATTTTTATATAATATACGAAAACTGCCATTGTTGTCCAATGTATTTTTTACAGCTGGGTAATAAAGTTTAAGACAAAATGCCACTAATTAGAACTGTAATTTAGCTTCTAATTTAATGAGAAATTTTCTTAGGATAAGCACTTGCTACAAGAAATATAATAATTAATGTAATTTTTTAAATTTTCTCACATTAATTCTTTTATTTCCATGCTCGCACCAGGATTTTTGGGTGAAGTACCATGTACTATCAAATATTCAGTGCTATAAAATTCTAGTGATTCTGTGATGTAATTATATATAGTGACTGAGTGAAAATATCTTGTATATAAAAAATTATCAAAATGTTGATTTATGCCAAAATTAAATTATCAAATAGTATATCATTGCTGTTATGTCAACTCAAACTGCATATTGTGGATGATTTCATAATATTAGACCATTATATTGTTGATCATAAATTATCTATATCAATATAAAATTGAAGCACACATACATATATATGTAATAGTAAATTTAAAATTGTTACAAATATATTTGTTCATATATCCAGTATTATATTTTAATCTACAATGTACATAAAACATTTATTAAGAAATTAATTGTATAAGTATTTTGACCATTTGTTCATGGTTGAGTTTAAATTATTAATGTATACATATTTTATAATAAATCTAATATTTTATAATGATTATTTTATAATATTTATCTATACCTATGTGAACATGTGTATGTTAAATAGATAGATGATTTGCATTTTATGAAAATTCTAACTTCCAGTAATTGATTATTGTGTTTCATATAGCTTAGATTCGATTATCAGATTACATTTTCAAATATATAAAATAGAATGTGCAAAATGGTTATTGTATTTTTGTATTTTTCATTGTAACAAGGTAGACCGTCTTTATACATTATATAACATTTTAAAAGTATTTCTAAAATGGTTTATACTAAAAGAATTATAATCTGCTCATCCTTGTTTCTATTGATTTATATCAACAATTCTGTGAACTGCTGGGTAATTATAAGAATAAAATTAATATTTTCATTTAACAAAGGTTTTTTTAGATGCAAGAAACTGTAAACCTAATTATTGACTTTATAATGCCAATAAAATATTTGATGTTCAGATTAGATCATACATATAATAATATAGTCGTCATGAATTTTATGTATTATAAGTTAAAATATCTTTTAATTTATATTCACCTGTAATTTTTAATGAGTTGCAAAAAATATCTAACGTTTCTTGCAATCAACGTATAATTTTGAAAATTTATTTTTTTCTAAATCTATGTTTCTTCATATTTTAGATGAAATATAGACTTTTTCCTCTATCTTATAAAATAGAGTATATGAACAAGGATTACGGAATTCTTCATAGAGCAGATATTAAAAAAATTAATAGAACTGACACAATTTTAATTGTCAATGGGACGCTACTCAAAACTGTTGATGATCTTGTTGTAAGTTTTATAATAATTATGATATTGCAAAATTCTTATGCATATATAAACACGTTTTGGCTATAGTTCACCATTCAGCGAAACAAAAATTTATAATTAGCTCAAGAGTAGCGTTCCCGATTCACATGCTGGAGGTTCCGAGTTCGAATCTCCGGCCAGAATTTGAAAAAATATTAACTAGTTGGAATAATAATAGAATTATGAATTGTACTAATAAGATATGTATGTTAAATATAAAAATTAGATAATTAGAATTTAAAAATGAATTGAAGTAAGAAGTAATGAGAAGTATAGAAGAAAGAAGAAATAGTGGTTAGAAATGAAGTGAAGATAGTAAAAGAGAATGAGATAGTTAGTTAAGAAGTATAGAAGAAGAATAGGATTATATGAAGAAGATAGTATAAATTGAAGATTGTATATGACTGTATAGAATAATGTAGTGGCTAAATGCGCGAGTAAGCGAGGCCATAAAAAAAAAAAAATAAAAAAAAACTATTTTTTATGAATTTAGGCAACTGGTGAGATACTTAGGCATTCAAATGGTAAAAATAGACCAATGTTCCCGAGTGTTACTATAAACCTTGCCCTTTATTGTCTCCTAATGCAATAATTACCAACACTGGTTTTGTGGGTACTCTCATCAAAACATTCAGAAAACAAGCATATGACATATTGTTTTCACCTGACAACAAACTTCCACGATCTTGCCCAGTACCACCGGTTAGTAGACGTTGAAACTATTATTTTGAAATTAGCCGAGCATTGTTTGTTTTCTTTTATTTTTAATTTCAGGATAATTATTATTTATCCTTTCATGTTGATGCAAGCAAATTTCCAGCGTTTTTACTACCTGCAGGAAAATATATGATTCAAGGAAATGTCACCATGGATGGTATGCTCCTTGGAAAAGCACATGGAATGTTTGAAATCGTTGAGTACTATTCTGAAAAACAATGGGCCCGTGGATAAATTTATATATTATTTTTTGCATTTCACTTAATTTTGGATAAATTGCTTCAAAGTTCCAACGATTTCCACATAAGCCCTCTGATTGCTGTTGAAATTGGTTCCGCTGTTTTGATTTGCTCTGCCCATAATGATTTTATGATTTGATGTTATTTATAAATGGAAACTAGCTGTAAGTGGAATTCTGTCTTAAGGCAATTAGGGCATCGTGCCTTAAGGCAAATTGCTGGAACTTCCCGTACCAAAAATTATTTTTTTTTTTTAAAACGATTAACATTTTTGAAAAAAATTTACTTTGAAAAAATGAGATTTTTGAGAAACTATAAATTTGACAAAAAATTACTTTTTTTTGAAAAAAAAAAATTTTTTTAAAAAATTTTTTAAAAATTTTTTTTTTTTTGAAAAAAAATTTTTTTTTCTTTATTTTGACATATTGTGGAAGATCTGAACTTTCTTTTCAAAGCAATCGTACTGCTTTAACTGCATAGGGACAAAATATAAAGCGCGTAAGCGCCGCGTCGCTGTCTAACGCATGAGCATTGGTACGGAACCCATAGGAATGTTAACAAAATGTATAATTATTGTTAAAATCTCTATAAAATATCTGATAATTTGATGTGCATATGTCTAATGATCATTTTTGACCGCCAAATGGCCCATTTTTTTACTTTTTCCTCTATATCTCCGAAACCGCTAGACCTACCTTCATGAAAATTTTATCGATTCTTCATCTTGTCAATACAAGTGAAATGTTTTTTGAATTATTCAAATCGGACGCTCCGTTCTCTTAAAGTTGAGGTACCGTTTTTGGCACTTTTTGCCCCATATCTTCGGAACGGCTAGACCTGCCTTTGCCAAAAACTAATCAGCACGTCTCCTTATCAATACGAAGCGAATGTTTTTTAAATTATTCAAATCGGTTGATCCGTGTTCCCGAAATCGTCGACGAAAATTTGTATCCGCACATACATACACACACATACATACATACACACACACATACACACACATACACACACACACACACACACACACATACATCCATTTTTTCTAAGGTATGCCAAAATGTGTTCAGAAACCTCTGAAATGTAAAGATATATAAAAATTTCCATTTTTGATTTTTTTGCGATTACTATAACTTGCCCTACGGGAAGTTAATAATACATCGGCGCTAGAATTTCACGTTCCGAACCGGAGGTGAAAATATCATGGTAATTTTAAAATACCTCCCTTAATAAACCTGCCTACAAAAAGCAGTTTCCACATAGGTGTAATAGAAACATTATACACTTTTCTGACATGGCTGTGATTAAATTAATATGAGAATAATGAAAAATATAATGATAAAAACATATATTGTTTTTTTATAATAGAAATATGAAATAGCATTAATAGTCGTCGCTAATTTTTATATAAGTTCTACTGAAATTAAAATATTTGTGAAAGTTTTAAAATATTTTATTAAAAATTTACTTTATTCTAACAATCTATATTATCTAATATTTTGATTAGAATTTGTAAATAAATTTAATACGTATGGGTATATTTTTAATAATAATAATATTTATAATATATATATATATATATATATATATATATATTAACATTAGAAATAATTGTCATAACATTTAAATAAAATCTCTGCGTATTTATTTTATTTATATTCTTAGTTTCTTATTTGCTGTTTGTATTACACTAGTTTTTCGCTTTTCTTCTGTCAAGCTAAAGCTTTTTCAATAAAAATGAGAATTAGTAATGAATCTTTATACTTGTTTCAACATTTTATGTAACTTTTTAAAATGTACTTTTTTACATTATCAAAATAAGATTTTTTTTGACATATAAATAAATGTGCAAAATTTTCTCTTATTACTTCATTTTTTTTAATTCTTAATGTTTTTATCACAAAAATGGATC